GGTTCTTGTTTTGTTTTGTTTTGCTTTCTATGGGTTGCTTTCTTTTGTTTAAACAGTGTTCTAGTATTTGCAAAATGTGGGGCCTCTTGCAATGACTTCTGCAAAAGGTGGAACTACATAGGAGGAACTTGTCAGCCATCTAAAACCAACTGCCCAAAAGACCCCTTCAAGTTTCAATGCCGCTGCGTCAAGAAACTCTTCATAGGCTTATAACATGAGGGTGAGTCTTGTTACGTGCAAATAGAATGATGAATAACGTAACCTTAGTACTGAAGAATATCTCTATCATCTATGTGTACATCGTTTCAAAAGAACTCGAACCATTTAACATATGTATAGACACACATTATTTCACATATGTATAGACACACATTATACAGGTATCATATTGGTCTATATAATTTATATTGTAAAATATACAATACTTTTTATTTACATGTATGTGTCTGCTTGTGTGTGTGTGTGTGTGTGTGTGTGTGTGTGTGTGTGTGTGTGTGTGTGTGTGTGTCTGTGTGTGTATGTGTGTGTGTGTGTGAGTGAGTATGTGCGTTTGTGTGTGCCTGTATCATTAGGGGCGAGGGCTGACTTGCCTGAAGAGTGAAAGGTTTATCAAAGAACCAGGCAAAGATGAGGCCACACACGAAAATCTATCTCACAAAAGTAACATAATTTTTTTTAACTTCTTTTTCAAGGCGGCACCACTGTGTTGTGAATAAAAACAAATCCTGAATCGATATTGTATCCTCACCCACCAAAACACACGTATGGCCAGTCCCAGAGTGGTTCTGTACGTCTGACCTGTAGCTCGCCTGGCGCACGCCGTCTGCGTGTCAGCACAGCCGCACTGTGGGTTGGCGCCTGTGTCTCAGCGAGCGCGAGGCACACTCGCTGCGTCTCAGCACAGCCGCACTGTGTGTTGACGTGTGTAGGTGTGCAACTGACGGGTCTGCCTAGCTATATTTAGGTACTGTGTAATCCAAGACCAAGTATACCAAGACGGGACAACTCTTCTTTACGTCATGTGCCAAGTGCAGCCCCCACCCCACCCATCTAGAATCTAGAGAAGCACACCTAGATCTAGGCCTAGGCCTACGACAACAGTCGAAACTAGGTCAACCTGTCCATTCGAAGTTTCAATGTAAGATAAAGTGCATTTCTTGATGATTTTGTGGTCAAGTGTTGATGCTAGCATCAATATTTAATAGTAAAGCACCTAATAATACTTACTTCTTGTTGATTTTGATGATCTGTGAAGAGTTTCAGTCGAAAATAAACACGAAGCGAGGCGACACATGTCCGCCATTTTTACAACAGTGTTGAATAGCATGTCTGACGCATCGCGCAGCTCAGCTGACAAAAAACAGACGACACAGCGACTCTGCTTAAGCACACGATAATGTATACATTCATTTGCACGGTGCGAGCCAGGCGAGCTACAGGATAGACCTCCAGAGCCACTCTGGGACCGGCCTATCTCCTTAAATAATTGCACTCCCACTCCGTGGAAAACTTTTAAAAGCATGAGGGGAACTCTGGTCTCCAGATTTCTCAGCAGTAAATTGACTTTAAAATGTTGAGACCCAAACAGAAGGCAAAGAAATAACGGTGACAATACTACAAAATGTTGTAATTGTAGCAATTTGCTTTCAAATCTGGCTGTCTTTGATTAACTTTTCGTGGCCAGGAAACGATGTCATGACCTGAGTAAGTAAAGTTGTTCCCGCATCCGATCCGGACATTTGAGGATTACCATGTTAGTGAGACATCTTCCTGGGCCTTCGGCATATTGTGGTTGGGTGGCCAGTTCCGCTTCGGAGACAAGCGCACTAACCGCTCCCCCACCGCACCCATGACCTGAATACAGAGGTGTAAAAAGTCGAGAAAAAAAACAAAAACAAACTCCCACAGTGATTGTGCCTGTCTACGCAAGTGATCCGAAAGGGGCGAACAGGGTATTGATTATGTTTGCAATGAAACGGTTTTGAGTGTTGAGCTTACGGCTCAAATTTAGATTATTAAAATTTATATATGGCCTACGTCTACGGGTGTGTTTGACGACGACGATCTTCTCCAATTGGGGAAGGAAAACACTGATTATTTGTGTATGTAGACGCTTCGTTCCCTGCGTATCATTAAATCTTAACCTCTTCACTGCTGAGTAGACGTATGTTCTGGCTTGTATTCTCCACTTATATTGTTTTATCGGGTTGACAAAAAGAAGTTTTATTTGCTATAGTTACAGCTTGGGATTTTGCATATTCTGAAACTATTCTCTGTGTTTAAATATTCCTTGAATTAACACGTTATTTGTCAGTAGCCTACAGATGTTGGTGGACATTTTTATCAGCAGTGAAGGGGTTAATAGGACGGCCTAATAAATGTAGTAAGGATAGCAGTACAATATGTAATGTAGTAGTTTAAAGTGTTGGGT